GTCGGTACTACGTACAGATGATGAACGGCGTCTCGGTGGTCGCTCGAAGAGATAGCATATTCACTTTTCCCTTTTCCATGTTGGTCATCCGTATACTGTCCAAAGGCTAGATCCAATAGCCTTCGGCATATCTCAACATTCATAACACAACCGTCGATCTACTTACACTTAATTCTGTTTAGATCAACTGGTATGTACAAGAATTCATGCCTCTCTATTCGAGGTGTTTAGGAAAGGTGGGTCGTAAAATGGTAGTTGTTTTCTTTAATAAGTTAGTATTTTTACTCCCCGGCTCCTTCCAAATGTCTCTATATGTCATTGCATGCTAGGAATCCTTTCCGGCATTACCAACTACGCAACATTCTGACATTCCGTCGAGATCTGAATCTGAAAAATTAAAAATACGTACACGGTGTGTCCTAAAAATAACCGAACCTTATATATAAATCATACAACATACAGCGCCATCTATTGAAAATTTGCAAAATTAGCATCTAACATCATGTAAGTCGGATGACAGATGTAAAAGTAACAGCCATTTCAATAAAACCAAAAGTGTGCTAAGGATTCAAAAATAAAATGGAACAAAGAGCAAATATAAAATTTTGTGTGAAACTTGAAAAAAAAAAAAAATAATGAAAAAAGTTTATTGTGATGATTGTATGAGTCGTACGCAAGTTTATACATGGTTTACACGATTTAAAAATGGTCGTGAGGATTTAAATGACGACCCTAGAACAGGACGTCCAGAAACTAGTAATCGTGCTGAACTGGTGGAAAAAGTCCGTGAAATCATTGGTATCGATGCAAATTTTACTTCGAGAATGTTGGCTGAGGAATTGAATACGAGTAAAAACTGAAGATTTGGGGAAACGAAAGGTCTGTGCGCGATTTGTTCCACATGAATTAAATGACGACCAAAAAATAGCTCGAATTTTGAATGAAAAAAGTGATTTCTCTCATCGACCATGCTCCGTATTCGCCTGATCTATCACCATGTGACTTGTTTTTATTTCCAAAACTGAAAACCAAGATAAAGGGAGCATTTTATGATGAAATCCCAGCCATTCAAGCAGCCGAGGTACTGAAGAACATTTCTATAAATGACCTAAAAAAAATCTATGCATGCGCTGGTTGATCGTTCCAAACGTTGTGTTGAGTCAAATGGAACCTATTTTGTATAAATAATAACTTTCAAATATAATATAATGTGTATTTTATTTTATATCCAAAAAGTTCGGTTATTTTTGGGACACACCGTGTAGTTTCCAAGGTTTATAGAACAACAAGGTTACACAAGAGCGAAATCATATGTTTAATGACGAAGCACGTTCAATTTGTGGGTTGCCAATAATTTTTAAATATTAAAATAATTATTTTATCTATAAAACAATTTAACATTTTGATTATAAAATTTTAAAGCCTTGAATTAATTTTTTTTAACTTATTAATAATCACAATTCAAACGTTCTGAATAGTTTTATGTCGCAAAAATGTATTTTATTTTCAAAAAATTTTAAGTTATAAAAATTAAAATTATTTAAATAAAATTCTGTATCTATTTTTTTTTTTTGTCTGCTAAAGAGTTTTTGCGAAATGGATGTGCCATATTTTGTGAAAAAATCGTGTTTAAAAATTCGAAGCGGTGAGAAAGTGTGCAGTGGAATATTTTGGACAGAAATTAAAAAAAAAAAATTGTGTGAGTTATTTATATTAATTTTTGTGAAAAATGTGAAAAGTTAAAACAAACATGCGATATTGTAGAATATTCGTTAACCGCTCCATTTCATGAATTTAATGGCACAATTTGTTGGGCTAAAAACCTGAAGTTTTGGTATCAAGAAAACTTTTATACATCGGATAGTGAACAATGTATTATATCTGCAAGAATGAAGTATTGATTTGCAAAAAAAAAAAATGGTACTTACGTATTAAATTTGTGGAAATATTTGATTTCGTTCGGACACCTCGAACTTGGTTTGAGCAAGACCTTGCACAATAGCTTATTTTCGGTTAATTTTTGCGTCATCTTTTAATAAAAAAATGGCCAAATATGTAAAATCAAAAACAAAATTGAATAATTTGTATTTTCTTCTGTATAAGAAATTTTTTAATTTGAAAATAAAAATATTTTTTTTTATTATCTAATTTGTTTTCATATATTTTTATTATATAATATTAAATTCCGCCCACTGTATTTATGACGAAGTTGGCTCGATGACGTCAACGGTTGTCGTAACCTTGTATTCTATAAAGATTTCCTGCAAGAACGGACTGATGGGTTCACCAATGCACTCACACGATTTCGGGCAGAACCAACACATATGCACATCTTACTGTTTATCTTTCTCTTCTGAGCACATACAAATTGAATACGAGGTACAACTGCATTAAAATATTAATAACATTATGATTCGAAAATTATTTTTTAATTTTACTTAGATGGCTTTATGCTTCAAAGGAGCTGCGATTATGACGCAGGCGTTCGGACGGCTGGATCTGCGTCACTATTAAAGACTTCTTATAATATTTTGCTTATTTTTGAATAGGAATTTGTTTTTGTATTTTTATTTCTTTTGTGTGCTATGTAAACCATGCACATGATTTATGTTCAATATTGAAATAAAGACTGAATATTAATAATGTTTGTATGTATGTATGTATGTATATTGTATGTAAGTTTTGTAAGTTTTTGTCAAAGCTGATTTCCTTCGGCGTCAATGGTGTCGCTCATCTGTGTTCGTCTTGTACGGCACTGCTGCTGATGTTTTTCTACGTCCATATTATTTTCTCTTGGTATCAATACTGTCGTTCAGCTGTGTTCGGTTTGTCCGACAAGAATGACAAAAATGCACAAGGAAACCAAGAGAGAATGATACACGTATACAAATGTAAACATTAAGTTTGTCATTTCGGCCATAAGAAAGTGATAGGAAAATCGTTCTACGAGCTGACGGAATATGTTGTCATGCATTCCTGACTTATGTTGGCTCAAATGATCGGAAACCTTCTTGCAGGGATGATCACAAATCAGCTGTTGTGCTTACTTGCTAGATTTTCTTGGGTCAAATTTTCCCAGCACGAATTTGCAACTTCCTCTCCAACCGAAACGTCGAAATTGCGCTCTCTCATTACCAATTATTTCTGAGTTTTTAGCTCAACGAACACGGTTCAGTAAAGTTTTCTTACAACCCATCTAATCAACGAACAGAACTAATGACATCACTATTCGGTGAGACATGTCAAAAGGAGTTATGATGCAACTACCCAACTCACGTACCTTCCATCCATAGCAACCTATCTTATGAGAACGGCCTTTCAAATAATAACAGAACACTGCCCTGCACCTACGAGGTAGGGATTCCAGAATTCTCACTTTACTTTAGGCTAAACCCCCACCCAGGCACATCACGAAGGAAGTACTTAACTATTTATATTGACTCTATACACAAGAAATGCTAGACAAGTCGGCCTACTCGCTACTACAAAAACAACAACAAAGCGGTGTACAAAGAGGCTTTAAACGCTATTCATGTAGAGCTCGTCAAAACCTTTAAGAGCTCTTTTCTTGTGAATTGCGAACTCGGAATACAAACATCACCTATTGCAGACCCATAACTCGAACTTAATTTCTACCAATCCAGACTTGAACACGACATAATCAATGTACAATAAGCCATGCATACAATAAGACCCAGCATGACACTAACCACCTTTCTGCAGATCGCCAAAAACCCGCCCTTTTCCTTTGGTTCAAAACAGCTCGTTTCCATGTCCTTGATGATTTACAACTAGTCTGGCCTGTTTATGTATTCGAGACCGTTTTAAAATTAAAATTTTTCACGCAAACACCTTAAAAAAATTATAATTTCTTGATGTCAATTCACTTTACTTACTGGTACTTACGTTGAAAATTATGATTCCAATAATCCCATTTTATTATGATTTGTGACAATTAAATTTCTTAAAGTATTTTATATGAAATTTTTATTAAAACATTAAAAACATAAATAGTAAAAAAATCACAATTGTCAACAGAGTGTTTAATAATGTAAAACAAATCAACAAAAATTTTAAAACAACAAATAATTAAATATCTAAATAAATAAATATGTATAACGATTATTGCAAAGCAAATACAAATAAATATTATAGTATGTATATTTATGTAAATATAATTTATAACAAAGAGAGATGCGATTTGTTTACAAACATTATTTCCATTTCAAACATGCTTTAAGATTTAGTTTAAGAGTTTTTCCATTAGAATATGCTATGCTTATTTTGTATATTATATTATATTATATTATATATGTATGTATAGTATAGTTAATTGAATTATTTATAAATAATAGGCTAGACGCATTATTTTTTAAAGCACTTCGTTTTCGGTATCTTTAACTGTAAGTTAACGTATTTATGTGGTATGAAAGTTTATTCATTTTATACATACGTACATACTTATGTATGTACATATCAATTAAAAAATTATTATTTTGTTTTTCATCTTAGATTTATTTAGTTCTAACTTTATTGAATGAATTGACTAGAATGTTAAATGAGTTGCACTGCTGATTATATTTAAAATTTTAAAAGCACGAATAAGCATGCCATTGGATTTGAGTATTCTCAGTATAATCATTAAGCAATTGAGTATTATTCTTATATATTATATATACGATAATAATTTTACTATTTAAAAAGGCTCGATTTTACTATAAATTGCTAATTTTTCCAGTATGAATGAATATGAGTATGTATCGTTTCGCAAGGTACTGTTATGTGGTGTTAACCATTATGAACACAACGTCAAAAGCACCGTACTAATTAAAATCTCTCCGGCAAATGTTTAATTAGTAAATCGTTTTAATTTTTGAATGTACATATGTCATTGGGGTACCCAAAAAATAAATTAAAAATAGAAAAGATTTTTAGCATAATTGTTTAAATGATATTGTGCGTTAAAACAACGCTACATTTAAATAAATAAAGCAACTGTAAATTTGTGCAATGCTTAGTGCCTTTAGTTGTCATTTTTAGTAGATTCCATGTCTTTGTTAATGTTTTTTTTTTTGAATTATTAATTTTATACTTTGCTCCCGTTTTTCTTCACTTGTTACTTATATAAATGTATGTATAATTTATATCTTTCCTTAATTTGGTTGACTAGCAGCAGAAGAATTATAATTCTTACTTAATAAATTAAACATACTTTAACTGAGTATTTTATCACTTAGCTATAAATATTGTTACTGAGTATTTACATTTGCTATTTTTCTTCTTTTTTTTTAAGCATACATACAGCAACATAAAGCACATTATTGTATAGCACAAACTGCCGATGAACCTGTATATTGATTATTTAAACGTCTTTTCATGCCTTCCAAATAAATATCACGATTGAACAAACCAGCTGCCAATGGTATACTGTAAAGAATGAATATAAGGATGAAATGCAAATATTATTAATAAATATAAGTTATACGTACGCGTCTGTGCCAGCACGTATTTGTGTTTTAAACAGAGCCCAAACAGGTTTATGATCCGACGTCGTAATAGATGGCACTGAATCATATAACAAACATTTTACATAAGGCTGAGCTGTAGTAGCACCTGATGTAGCGGTGCTGGTGCGCCTTATACCTAAACCCTGCAATTGCCGATACTTATAGAGAATACGATCGGTATATGCGGGCGCACGTTGCTTGGATGATGTATCAAAATGTTGAGTACCGGGATCATACTAAAAAAAAAAAAAAAATAGTTTTGCATAAAATTAGTTCGAAATATACCAATTAAATATATATTAATTTCAAAATTTAAGCTATTGCTTGCCCCATACAGACCTTATACGTTGGCGGAAATGTTATATTCGCCTCCATGAAACCACGGAAAGCAGCACCATCCGATAAAACAGATGACAATTGATCGGTATGCATGTAACCGTGTGGCAAATGTGAGGGTAGTGGAAATTTTGTATTTTGTATCCATTCCAAAAGTTTCTCCCGCGGTTCACTTAGGCGAAAATTAAGATCACCACACCAGAAAACATTATCGAAATTTTGTGTGACATCCTTATTTTTATGGCGTAAATTTAGGTTTTTTGGCAAGTCTAATGCATGTATAATACGTTTCACATCGGAAACACGTTCTTTCACTTTCTGCTGATGCGCAGTCAAATGGGACGTAACAAATAACATTGAGGTGCCGAAGAGGCAAAAGGATATGGCCACCGCACCTTTCGTACGAAAGGCCGTACCGGTACGCACCGACAATGAAGCATCTTCCGGGGCTGAGCAATACCAAATAAGATCCCTGCGCATGTATATGGCCAAATGTAGTGTACCCAAATTTGTTGAATAGAAAAGTACATGTGATGGACCGAGTGTCTCTTGAATTGTCACCTCCCATTCGAAGCGATCGGGACTCGATTCTTGTGTGCCCATAGCTACAATATCGGGTACGTGCTCCACTGTCAGTGGTAGAACAAAATCGTTCATTTGTCTGAAATTTAAGATGTTTAAAACTAACAGTAATAATTTTTCAAAGACTTTTCCATTACTTTGGTGGATTTTGCCCATTCATATTCCATGTTCCTACGAATATTGTGATTTCTTTATTTGGCAAAACGCGGTCCAATTCAGCGGGGCCCAATAATGCTGACGATCCCATGTGCCCATCCATAAAACTCCTATTTTATAGAATAATATAAATATACTCTTTACTAAGGCTAAAATATTTATATTGGTTACCTTTCGCGAGCTTTGTCAGTTGGTATCAAACTCAGTACTTGAGCACTTAGTAGTGCCCGTCGCGCTAATCCTACTTGACTAGATTGTAACTTTTGTATTTGTATATTTTCATGCGAACTAAAACGCATATTTTGCTCTTGATGTTCTTCCAATTCCCTGGCTATATCTGGTTGCATCGCAATATTTGGTGAAGACATGTGTTGTGGCGTCACAGCACGTTTTATTGCATTGGCTGATGCTTGACTAGCATTCGGTTCCAGCGATGGCAATTCCTTGCCTGGTGGATATAGTTTTAGTCGCAATCGTGAACGACATGCAGAAACAGGCAATGGACGTATGGGGCTGCGAAAATGGTTACCAGCCACTGGATCTGTTGTCACTTGTTCACTGTGGCCACTTTTGAGCGAGACATTTGATGGACTACTGTGCGAGGATGTAAACATCACTTTAGAGGTAACTGGCGACTCAGGCGCACTTGAACATTCGGTTATATTCATTCTATTTAAGTTTTCATCTTGTTTTGGCAATCGCATGGACGTATTTTCATCGGATGACTGCATTGATAAAGATGCATTATCTACAAAACTCCAGCATAATGTTTGACTGTCACGTTTGATCAACGTATTGGCTGGATCTGGTATTGAATTGTAACGCACTGTTACTGGCGGTGTCATTGGTTTCTTTTCGGCTTTACAACATAAGCTAAACTGGTGACTGAAGCGGTTATGATTTGGTGAGCGGTACTTAGCTGTCTTACGGAGTACCACTTCAGCAGCACCCCCATCACTTTGAGAGCCATCAATACTACGACGACGTACATGAGAATTTCGTGCGTTAGTGTCGTAGGCATTTTTAATGCTATTACTGATGGGAGGTAGTATTTTATTCGCTCCTGATGATGCATTATTCTTTATTCCATTTGCTTTTTGAGGAGAATTCGGCGAACGTTGGCGATCAGGAGAACATTTTGCAAATGTCACATCATGGCTATTGTTACCAAAGTAACTCCCACATGCTGATGATGGGCGCAAATAGTCTGTTTCCTGTTTCTTCGTTTCGTTTTCACGCGGATGTGGCTCTATTTTGCTTGATCGTTTGGTCAGAAAACCAAATAGTGACAAATGTTTTTGAGGCAATCGTGGACTAGAGTTGGCGCTTGTAATGCGCTCATCGCTATTACATTTTTGCATTATTATAATTAGGAAATACAACTTTTTAACGACTGAAGACAATTACATGTTCTACATAACTTTTGATTTTTTTTCGCTCATATTGCAACTAAAAAGACAAATTAAGCTAATCACTTAAATGCTTAATTCTAATTCACTCAAGGCAATGACGGAGACAATTCTCTGCTTAGGAACGAACGCAAATAATACGCAGGGGCGTATGAGTAGATGTGTACAATTGCAGTTATCATAAATGTACTATGAATGCACAATAGTTTAATTTGGGATTTCTTATATCAATCGACTATGTGAGCTGCTTGTGTAGATTTGTATATCGCTATGTATTCACGTATTTGCGTTCCGTAGTATACCAAAAAGCACCTTCGATTCTTTAAAAGTGGTACTATTAGCAAATTCAATTTGTTTAGCTTCTTATTTAAGAATATGACACTTTTATGTGCATTGTGTGTTCCACATCACCACATCTGCCGACCAGATAATTCTTTACGACCTGTGGTCCTGCTGGCTTGCCTTTCCAAACGTGCCATTTGAAAATCAATATAATTTATGCATAGCAGAAAATAATACCCATATTGGAGTGTTATATCAGTAAATAACCGTTTCAATGGCTTCTAAACACTAAAAGTTTTCATTTTATCGGTTTTCAGCTGTAAAATATATTTTTTTACATTTTATACGAATTAACTATTAAAATCTATCTATACAATTCCTTACTAATGATTATAATTGCATTTTGTACGTTTTTTATATAAGTTCACAACATTCGCGTCAATATGATAACAACAACTATTAGGGGTTGCCACTGTAACCCACGCAACACAACATAACCAATCAAAAAAAATAGTACACATTTCTATACCATCGCACATGGAAACGACTTGCCGTACCATAAAACGTAAGGATTTTTTACATTTCAGGGTCAAAATAACACTACCATAATTTTTACCTTTGTTTTAAGGTTTTATGCATATGATACTTATGATTTCATACCAGAGAAAAAGTTTGTATTTTTTAACTATTTTGAATCCTATAGAATTACTCCGCGTAGATTATTTTAATCATGGCACATAGTTTGTTTAATTGATGTGTTTACGAATGTGTAAATGACATAACTGCAACTATGTAATAAAAGTAGCTGGTCACTCTAGTTTTAACAGCTGTGAAGTTATGTATTGCCAATATAAAGAAATTCATATATAAACTATTTCAACGTTCTTGTTTTTCGCAAATAGCGTCAATTGGCATTCTCCTGGATTAGTTTATTGTGAAATTAAAAAAAGTTATAATGGGCCCTCCAAAAAAATCAAAAAAAGACCGATTTACCGGTGAAAAATTTGGTACGAACGAATGAAAATAACCATAATATTCGTATTAACATTTTGTTGTGTTAGGAAAAAAACGACGTGCTGAAGACGAAGCTTACACCCAATTGGTGGAAGATGGAGATTCTCTTGCCTCTGATGGCGCTGCTGAGTTAGACGGCGTACCCGTTGCTGCTTCCAAAAATGTAGAAACCAACGATGATGGCATTATGACTGACGAGTACGGTGCAAAGGATTACCGTGCTCAAATGGAGTTAAAGACTGACCATACAAATAGACCGCTATGGGTTGCACCAAATGGCCATGTGTTTCTGGAATCATTTTCACCTGTTTATAAACATGCTCATGACTTTTTAATTGCTATTTCGGAGCCGGTTTGCCGTCCTGAACATATACATGAATATAAGTTAACGGCGTATAGTTTATATGCAGCTGTGTCAGTGGGATTGCAGACACATGATATCATTGAATATCTCAAGCGTTTAAGTAAAACGTCAATACCAGAAGGTATCATTGAATTTATCAAACTTTGTACTTTGTCTTACGGAAAGGTAAAATTAGTGCTTAAACACAACAGGTACATATATATTCTCTGTATAAATTAACTTTGAATTGATCAATGTTCTCTACTATTTCATATGTAGATATTTTATTGAATCACCTCATCCTGAAATTCTTCAAAAACTCTTAAAAGATCCTGTAATTCAACAATGTCGTTTAAAACGAGAAGAAGGCGAGGGCTTCATACAGGGTAAATTAGAGGGTAAAGCTATCACACAATTTGGAACAAAACTGCCACCTGGCAGTGAAAATACCGCCACAAGCACCAGCGATTCTGCTGCTGGTGCGGCCCCCGGTACGGCGGTGGGAACAAATCCAGATGGTACTACAGCCGTTCCTGAAGACATTACAAACTTCTATGATAAAATCGATAACGAAGAAGAAGATGAGGATGAAGCCAATTTGAAAACCGTGTCTTTTGAAGTGAATCAAGAAAAAATCGAAGTTATACAGAAACGTTGTATTGAAATAGAACATCCACTGTTAGCAGAATATGATTTCCGTAACGATACACATAATCCAGACATAAACATAGATTTAAAACCGGCTGCGGTTCTTCGACCTTATCAAGAAAAAAGCTTACGTAAAATGTTCGGTAACGGCCGTGCCCGTTCTGGAGTAATTGTACTGCCATGTGGTGCGGGCAAATCGCTTGTCGGTGTGACAGCTTGCTGTACAGTTCGTAAACGTGCACTTGTTCTTTGCAACAGTGGTGTTTCTGTAGAACAATGGAAACAACAATTTAAAATGTGGTCCACTGCTGATGACAGTATGATTTGTCGATTCACTTCTGAAGCTAAGGACAAACCCATGGGTTGCGGCATACTCGTAACAACATATTCTATGATAACACATACCCAGAAACGTTCTTGGGAAGCAGAACAAACCATGCGCTGGTTGCAGGAACAGGAATGGGGTATTATGGTGCTCGATGAAGTACATACTATACCCGCTAAAATGTTCAGACGTGTTCTGACGATTGTGCAGTCTCACTGCAAATTAGGTCTAACAGCCACATTGTTGCGTGAAGATGATAAGATTGCTGATTTGAATTTTCTTATTGGACCGAAACTTTATGAAGCAAATTGGTTGGAATTACAAAAGAAAGGTTATATTGCCAAGGTACAGTGCGCTGAAGTGTGGTGCCCGATGTCTCCAGAATTCTACCGTGAATATCTTACTACGAAGACTTCCAAGAAAATGCTACTCTATGTAATGAATCCGTCCAAGTTTCGTAGTTGTCAGTTTTTAATCAAGTATCATGAGAAACGAGGAGACAAAACAATTGTATTTTCCGATAACGTATTTGCCCTTAAACACTATGCAATTAAGATGAACAAACCATTTATTTATGGACCTACTTCACAAAATGAGCGTATACAAATTCTACAAAACTTTAAATTCAATCAAAAGGTAGGGAGATTAACTAATTAATTTTAGATTATTTTTTTTTTAACTTTGTGCATTTACCTTCAGGTGAATACAATTTTTGTGTCCAAAGTTGCCGATACGAGTTTTGATTTACCCGAGGCTAATGTACTAATTCAAATATCCTCACATGGTGGCTCTCGGCGTCAGGAAGCACAACGTCTTGGTCGTATTTTGCGTGCCAAAAAAGGAGCTATCGCAGAAGAATACAATGCTTTCTTCTATACTCTCGTTTCACAGGACACCTTGGAAATGAGCTACTCACGCAAACGTCAAAGATTTTTAGTCAACCAAGGTTACAGCTATAAGGTTATCACCCACTTGAGTGGAATGGACACGGACCCAGATCTGATGTATAAAACCCGTGAAGAACAGTCACAGCTCTTGCAGCAAGTTTTATCGGCATCAGACTTGGATTGCGAAGACGAAAAAGTGCCGGGAGAACCAGGTTATCGGCCCAGTGGTGCAACAGCATCTAAACGGGCTGGAGGTCTCAGCTCCATGTCTGGTGGCGACGATGCTATCTACTATGAACAACGCCGACGTAATGCAGGTTCGGTGCATCCTCTTTTCAAAAAATTTAGAGGCTAAATGTATAATTCTTCGTGGAAGGATTATAAAAGATTTAAAATCTTATCATAATACAATCCGTTTGTAAGTAGTAGTTTTTCGGAAAATACATTTGCATAATTCTTATTTTTAAAACAAAATAAAAATATTTCATTTAATTAATTTGTGTATTTGAAATTCACAAAAGGTAAAATTAGATGGTTACTTATAAATAATATTCAAAAGCTTAATAGCAAACTTAAATCTAATTTAAAGAAGTTGTTGTTTTAGCGCTCTCATGCCGTATAGCATTAATTAGTTCATAGTTTACCAAAAACACGAAACGTAGACTGCAGATCTGTAAAATATATTTTTAGTTTTGTTGTTATAATGCATATACAAAATATTCGATCTCACCTCAACAACACAGTTGTTAGCGAGACGAGTCTTATTTCCAGTTAAGAGTGGAACGCCGTCAATAAAAAGGGGTCTCTTGCCCTCGTTAGCAATGAAGAAATCGCCGTTGCTACGCAGTTTAATTGTGCCCTGACGACGAGATATTTTGCATGCTGGACCCTCTAGCGATAAATCGACATCGACATGTGAATCTTCAACAAAACGACCAAAAGTGATTTCTTTCGAACGCATTAAATAACGAACCAAACGACCGCGAAGCACTGCTAGAGTCTGACCATCGAATTCTGGTGGTGCTACACCAGTAACAGAATCAACTAAGACATTCCAGCGACTTAATTCATTTTCCAAAAGACGAATTTCTCGCTTATTTTGTCGATCATTTAATGCTAACTCAATCTCCAAGGCCTCATCGCGTTGATCGTTTAACTCGGCATCAAGTATTAGATCTTCAGCATCCGAGAAGCTTAATGGTTGGTCACTCATGTGCAATGGTTTCACCACTTGATCTGGCAGCAATTGATACTGCTTCATCATTTGCCAGTGGTTTTGTAATGATTTAGCTGTCCGTGCTCCATAGAATATAGATGCATTTTTTTCCAGCAAGTCTTGGAACTGTTCCAATTTTGGATTATCAGTCTAAAATTACAACATTTATTAGATTATATTGAAATTACTGCGCTGAGTTAATTAAATTTACACTTTTTATGGTTCCAAGTAGTTCCTCTTCTTGCACACTAAAAAGCGCTTTGCTTTGAACCGATACTACAAGTTCTGGATGAAGATTACGCATAGCTGCCACGGCGATGCGAGAAATTGCTGGCTCATACAGTAATGAAAACCAACGTGATTGCAATTCTTGTAAAGTAAACTTACAGGAAAACTTTACACCTCGGTGCACCATGCGTAAGTCATTAGTTTGTTGTATACCAATAATCAAAGCTAAATCATCAATAGGTTTCCAGCGACCTAAATCCTTGGTTGTGATTTGGCTTGGAGGTCGACCAGTTTTTTTAGACTTTTTATTTGAACGAGGAGGACGTCTTTTATCAGTACCATGTGCCGTTAATGACCGTTCCATCGAAGGTGATGTTTGCTTAATTACCGCAGGATGAGCAGGTGGTAAAGACGTAGAAACACCACCAAGAGATACACTTCCACTATTCGCAATCGGTGCAGATGCTAATGTAGGTGTCTCTCGTACGATGGACGATGTAATTTCAAGATTGCTTATAGTAGGTGTAGGCGCTTGCAGTATTGCTGCCGACAAAGATTGAGTCTGTGCAGTTGTTTGAGATATAGTGCGCTGACGTCCGGCTTTTGCTTCTCCGCGTGATTGTGGGAATCCAATACTATACTCTACAATTTCGTCGTCGAAACGTTTACGTTTGATTGAACGAGATGAGCTGTTTAAAAGTATTATATTATATTATTACATATTCTTTTGAAATTCTTCTATTTACCTTCTGCGCTTCTGGTCATTTTGTAATTCTATAGGTAAATTCTGCAATGGCGTCGCTGGTGTTGTAATTGCGTTTGTAGATGTAAGAACAGAAGTGGACAACTTTTCTTCTTTATGTGTGCCAGTCCTAGTAGGCGATACAGTAGTTTCCATGGCGACTCCAGATTCAAAAATGATAGCCAATTGTGATTTTAAAATTTTTTTGATTGAAAATTCACTGTGAAAAATAATTGTTCGTCAATAAGCAACACAGAATTATAGAGGGGAAATGTTCAGCACAAAAAAGAAAACTGACAAAGGCAAGTGCTACCCATAGTGCTGCCATCTAGTGCTGCGCGACCGAAATTTTGTTTTTTCACCACGTGTATTTTGTTCCAATACTTATTTCGTGGTATCTATTAGAATGTTTTAACTGAAATCAGTTAGTAGAAATATCTTTTAAAAATTATCTGTATTGTTGCGAAAATGCGAGGCGAAGATGGAAGAGAGAAGCCGATAACTAGTACGTTCTAGAAACGATAAAACAAGAACCTTCCATAGCGAACAATTCGATGCTTCTACGCTTTCGTCTGCGAGCAGCCGACTGCTATATAAAGGCGACACTCAGCTGCAAGTGAAGTTAGTGACAAAGCAAATTGGTTGGCGTTAACATCAGTGAAGACGTAAAGTGAACGCGTTGGGAATTACATTTAAGTAGAGTAAATTGTGAAAGTTGATGTTAGTGATTATAAATAGTAAAGTGCAGTATAATTGAATTGTGAATTACTGAGAAAATAAAGGACATTAGATAGAATCTTTATAACGAAAGAAACTGCAAATTAAGTTGGCGAGTTTTTATTTAACAATCCAGAGATCGTACCCGAAGGATCTAGAAAATAATCGAGGTTGATTCAGTAAAATCGTAACAGTATTTTATTAATTACAATCCTAGTTTTTTTTTTTAATTGACAGTTCATTCGATTTTACAGTATTTTATCTTCGACATGGCAGCATTGTGATAATTTTTCAATGACTGATGAAATTTTGGTGTTATTTTATTTATTTTTATTGTGCGGAGTCATTAGTTTATACGAAAAAAGCTTGAATAAAAGTATCCACTATTTAATATTAACAACAACATAACGAGTGATTGTGAAAGAAATAGTGAAATGAGGTGAACGAAATAAATATTCATAGTTTATACATTTGTATTTATGTACAAAGATACAAAGGAGTACCCAAGCGCTGATTAATCGATTAGAATTGTGAAAAAGAAGATATCCATTCGAATTTTTAATTTACTTTTAGTTTGCAAATGGAGAGTCCCCTAACGGACAGCAAAATGGATATCTCTGATGCTACAACTTCACAGGGCTCAGCAGGTGTTTCGCCACTTGGTGAAGATGACGATCCTGACGCCCCACAATCACCGACACACAACAATCACAACATACAACAAATTCTCATAAAAGACACAACTGTAGTAACGAACAACACAATGAAAGCGGAAAATGTGAAAAAAGAAAATGAAGTAGTACCCAATTTGGACAATAGACTTGTTCGACCAGGCGCGTTACAATTAGATCTTGGACCGCAACAGCGACAAAATATTGAACGTACTATAACAGAGAGTCATCCTTTGATGTCGCCCGCAGATTCTGAAAATGAACACAGTTCTGCAAATTCAATAACAACAAACAATGATGTAAAACGCAACAATTTTCCAGATGTAGTGCCGCAATATGAACACAAGCAATCGCCGTTGCAGCCAATTACTATAACTGAAAGAAATACGTTGAACAATATACGCGGTATAGTTAACGTACCTACCATAGCGCACAATAAGCTCTCCTATTTACGGGCACACAGTCCTGACCTTTTGAGTAGCGAATCTGAAGCTGATCTATCACAATATCACGCAACGGTGGAATCCAATTTTCAAAGTGTATCACTTATTCCAACTGCTGGCAATGATATGCCGAAACATGTGCGTCGAAATAGGAAAACTATTGCAAAAGGTGCTAATGGTGGTGATGACATCTCATCACTGGATTCAATTTCAAATCATAGTTTTGACGATGATGAAGATATTGAACATAAATTAGCATCTTTAAGCCCTTCAAGTTCATTAATTGATGGTTTAGATGATGATAGCGACGATGATGAAGATGGCGGAGTTGTTGGTTGTATGGATGATGAAGACGAGTATCCCGAAGCTGCTACCCCAACTCCACATCTACTTTCAACTTTAACAAGCAATCCGGATGGAACAACTGATCAGCTGCCACAATATTCAGCTGCCGAAGAAAGACGAGATTCTAGAAATTGGCAAAAGATAACATTGCCTGATGGACGTACCAGAGAAATAGATATGCGTGTGATTGAGCCTTACAAGCGTGTGCTGTCACATGGTGGCTATCTACAAGCGGGCGGCCACAATGCGATTGTAATTTTTTGTGCCTGCCATCTGCCAGATCGTTCGCGTGCTGATTATAGCTATGTAATGGATAATCTATTTCTCTATGTTATCAAAACTTTGGAACAATTGGTGACGGAAGACTATGTGCTCATTTATTTGCATGGTGGTACCAGTAGACGTAATGTGCCACCGTTTCCATGGTTGAAGAAGTAAGTAAAAAATTTTAAATTTATTTTTTAAATTTACTTATGTATACACATATATATTTGCTTACAGATGCTACCAACTTTTAGATCGGCGTTTAAGAAAAAGTCTGAAAAACATGTATTTAGTACACCCAACATTTTGGATTAAATCTATTGTGTGGATGACGCGACCTTTTGTTAGGTATGTAGGCATAAAAATGGATGTATATATGTATATGTATAAAACTAAATTTATTTTGCAGTGCAAAGTTTTGGCGGAAATTAGTTTACGTGAAATCTTTGGATGAACTTGCCAAACACGTTGTCGTAGAGAAAGCTGCCATACCTGAAAAGGTTAAACAGTATGATGCGCGCCACAATTGAAATAATAATTATATAACTTGCTTGCATACCTGCCCGTACTATGGGCTGGACAGGCAATTAACATAATTAGTGCAATAGGCAAAAGAAAAAACAGCGAAGTTTTTATGCACATTTTTCCATTAGTTAAAACGTTCCTTAGATTTATCTTTAATTCAAATGTCTGGACATGATTATAGACTATGCAATATTTTTGGTTTCTTTGCACCGCCTTAAAAGGCTATCAATTAAATGAACATCTAATGTAACTGGCTCACAGTTATTTACAATGTTGTACATTTTCAGTTCCGTGCTATAAACAAAAATATTGCAAGCATAACTTATACACTCGGCGTTAGTTGTTCTTCGGAAAACTTTCACGATCTCAATTTTTTTTTTTTTTTACTATAGTATTGTGATATTTTTCGCATATATTCGCTATTCTATTTCTATCATTTCATTTTGTTTGTATGTAAAAGCAATAATGATTGCACTCGAAAAAGCAAATTAATGTATGTTTGTAACTGTAGTATTCCCTTTGAAAATGCTTTTGTTAAATCTGAAAACATGTATTAATGTTTAAGATAAAAGAAAAACTCAACTATACGAATGAAATTATATTCGTTGATAAACAAATGTGTACATCGAATATTTTGTAGACTTGTATGTAGCTGTACTGCATTGAAGAAAGTACTCAAACAGCACGAGCAAAGGCAATTTGTTATTTAGTGCATTTCTATATGCACAATCAATAAGCTAAACAAAAGTATAATTATGTACGCACTATTATTCTGTAGCTTTGATTTACTTAGATTAAGATATTTCAAGTAAAGTGAAGTGTATGTTGATGCAAGAATCGATGTTTAATGCTGTTGTTTGTATGTATATGTACATATACATATTTTTTATTTATTAGTAATGTCATGATCATTTCATGTATACATATCATGCTTTTTTTAGCATTGAGGCAAAAAAGTTTAAAAAATGTAGATAATTATCTATAAAAATCCAAATATTGTAGTATGCAATAAAACAGATTCTACAAATTCTCAACACCTTCTACTTTTAAGTTCATAACTAATTTTGTGTTATTTCAATAATGTCCCTTAATATGTTATGTCCAATTTAATCTGTTTGGTGTTACATTTATTTTCGTTAAGTTTAAGTCGAGAATTTGTAGCAATAAATATTTTTAGCTTATTTTCGGTTTAAAAATTCATTTTTAATACACGCTGCAATAGTTTAATAAAATGCTTTATATATATTTTTTTTTCACTAAAATCTATAAATATTTAATATAACTTAACTTATGTCTTAAAAACAAATAATTTATTAAAAGAAAAGGCCCTTAAAACTTTTTTTTTCCATAAGTGCTCGAAAATCATATACAAAAATTGTAGAAAATCGGTTGCTCCCCGACTTACAAATTATAGCTGCTCCAAGCATCATCAACCGAAGGTGGCATCCCCGATTGTGGTAAAACATCTAGAAATACACCCAGCGTTTGAGAAGATACTCGCCCGCGAAATGCTTAAACTATTATAATGCATCAATTATATGTATATTTTATTACTAATTCAATGCATTTTTACGCTCTTATCATATAGTGTATGTGTTTATAGTTGTATTTTACAAAAATCAAATCCATCATTTTCATTATTAATTTTCATTAGACAAATATAATCAGTGCAACCTCATACCACCAACTTTGCAACATAAACAACTTTCTACTTGTTACCTAAACCCACATATTTTCTAGTTGTAAGACAACAAATTGTATGCAAATAACTAAAAATAAAAATTAAAAAAATGAATAAAAAAAACACAAAAACCAACAAAAAAAAAAATATGTGAAGCTGCAGATAATGTAAAGGAAATGAAATGCTTTAGATACTTTATAAACTTTGGATTTTGTGTACCACATATGCTATATATAAATATATATATACTTACATACATATAATATATCTGAACATTCCCGGACTTATTTGATATACAAACACGCTGAGTATTTACTTAACATTAATTAAATAAATAATGATAACATGAATAGCAAAAAATATGATTATTCAAATAAAAATAAAAATACCCTATTGATATTATACGCAATACGAGGTGTGTTCGAAAAGTATAGCGAATTTTGTGTTTTATCAAAACTTATTTATTTACTCATGAATATCTATTTTGTCCCCTTCAAAGTAATCCCCATGAGATATTATACACTTGTGCCAACGGTTTTTCCAATCTTCGAAGCACTTCAAAAAATCATTTGTTTTTATCTTGCTCAGCTCCTCCTTCGATGCCGTCTTTATCTCGTCAAACGTAGCGTAACGTCGTTCTTTCATGGGCCTCTTCAGTTTAGGGAACAAGAAAAAGTCACAGGGGGCCAGATCTGGGGAATACGGTGGCTGTGGCATCATTATTGTGTTGTTTTTGGCCAAAAAGTCGCGCACAAGCAACGATGTGTGAACAGGGGCGTTATCGTGGTGCAAAAGCCAATTTTTGTTCTCCCACAAATCCGGGCGTTTCTGGCGGATTGCTTCGCACAAATTGCGCATAACTTGCAAATAATATTCCTTATTGACCGTTCTACCCTGTGGCAAGAACTCATGATGCACCACGCCCCTGCAATCGAAGAAAACTGTCAGCAAAACTTTCACATTCGACCGAACTTGGCGCGCTTTTTTCGGTCTTGGTTCGTGCGGCAGCTTCCTTTGAGATGATTGAGCTTTGGTTTCCACGTCATAACCATAAATCCACGATTCGTCACCAATTATGACCCTATGAAGCAAATTTGGGTCGTCGCGGAGAGAGTCCAACATCTCTTTAGCTATGTTCATGCGATGCTGTTTTTGGTCGTAATTGAGCAGTTTTGGTACGAATTTCTCGGTGACCCGTCTCATGCCCAAATTATTGATAAAAATCGAATGGCACGAGCCAATCGATATGTTTAGGTTCTCAGCAACTTCTCTAACTGTGATTCGAGGATTCGTCAATACCATTTTCTCCACTTCATTAATTTTTTCGTCTGTTGTTGAAGTGCTCGGGCGTCCGGCACACTCTTCGTCGTTCACAACTTCTCGGCCTTCTGAGAACATTTTGTACCACCGATAAACGTTGCTTCGGTCCAAGGTAGCTTCTCCGTATGCCACAGTCAACATTCGGAATGCAAAATTGCATTTCGCGAAACTTTTTGAACACTCGTATGAAAGAAAAATCATACATCAGTTTATTGTTAATATTTTGGCATTTTTGAAAACATTCCGCGTAAATTTTTTTCACATGATGATATGATTTTATTATTTCACAGATTAATATACAATGCAGCAAAATTTTTTAATTCACTTATTTGAGTTTACTGTGAAATGCAAATATAGTTGCTTGTAAAGAGCAAAGTTTAACAAATAGAATGGCTTAGTGGCATAACGACAATTTTTCCCTCACAATAGTGGTATAAAGGCAGGCAATGCGCCAACCTTAGGGCGAACAGCTACGGAAGGCGTATCACTATCAGAATCAAGCTCAACAGATTGTACATCTGAGTGTTCTATTTTACCACTTTCATCTATTGAAGTTTTCTCATCGCATACTGGCTTTTCAATTGAGCAGTTGTCGACAAAATAACGCTGTAGTATTGCGGAATTTGATTCTTGAGTGCCCTGTACACTGCTTTGTTGTATCACCGAAAGCTCTGTTGATTTTTTTTTATGTTTCGGTTGTTCATTTGTTTGTTTTCTCTTACGATTCTTACAGTATATACAACTTACTAATTCACATTTCCCATTACGTTCATATTCCGGGCACACGAATTCATGGCGTTTGTTACACTGGTGGAGAAAGAATGTAATGATTGAATCAAATTTTAAATTTTGATACAATTAGGAGCTTATTTACCTGTTCTGCCAACTTGCAATAACCACGCAAAAAATCTTGACATACATCTGCAGTGATACTGAGCTTTTTATGGAGATATGGGCAATCGGTACGTACGCAAACGCCTTGCAGAAAAAATTTACAAACTGGCATTTTGGCTAGAGACACATTATGGGAAAGTAAACAATCTGGATTGTGACACTCGCTGCGCAGGAATCTATAGAAATATAAATGGTTAATTTCATAAACACGTTTATTGACAGTAAATTTACAAACCTTGGGCATATAGTCACATGCTTCTTATCATGCACTTTGTTGCACTTCCCTCTTTCATGAGCAATACACTTGCCAATGCGTTGGTAGATAGCACATGGTATATTGCTCTTAACCAGTCGACGTGTGAGTAACTGAAGACTTCGATTTTTCGCTGTATTCAAATGCGCCAAGGTCAAGTGGTTACTTGTGCGCACAAATACATTTTGTGTTGGAGAGGCGACATATGTTAATCCACCAATATCTATACGCCGTCGTAGTCTTTGCGCTACTCCCGCCGATTTTTTAGCGCCTATGGCAGGTTTGTTGGTGGGTGCAATTCGAGTTAATTTGAAACCATTTTTATCCAAAATAAACTTTGTCCCATGTACAAAAAGCACCCGATCATTAGATATTTTGCCAATATTTTGAGCTGAATTTTTAATGGATGCTGGTTTAGTGCTTAAACCTTGTATTCTATTCGATTTTAATAGATTGACAGTAACATTAGTGTCTTTTCTTTGCAGTTTGTTGCGCGTTGACCTATAAAGCACCCCATTGATATTGAGCATTTGTAACTTCTTGTTGATAGGCAATGAACGTAGTTTAGAAGAGCTAAAGATGGGGGAAAAAATGTTATACGTTTGCAATGAAATAAATAAAACACAAACTTACGTTAAACCTATTCTGGACTCGGAGGTTGTGCGTCGCAATGCATAACGTGCAACAAAGCTTTTACGTTTTAACTTAACTCCTGGTATTACACTCTTATTCACGGCAGCGATAGACGACTTGGGTCTTCGATCAAGTTTATATTTTCCTTGTGTGTTAATGGAAGACGCTGGAGCTGGTACTGGTGTAATAGTACGCGATATGTTACCTACGGGCGATTCTTGTGTCTTTCGTATTAATTTCCTTCTGGTTAAGCGAATAATCGGTGCTGGTTGTTTTACTATCGGTGCTGGAGGTACGCACTGGGTTATTTTATTAATTATAGCGGGTTCGCGAACAATTTTCGTACGAGATTTGCTAATAAGTTTTTGTTTAGCAACTTTGTTTTCGAGTATAGCTACAGGCGATTTACTGTCAACATTTGGTTTTTTAATTAACGGGTCGGGTTCATCACAGAGGTCGATTATTTCACCATGAAAACGGGAATTTTTTGGTTGATTCAGGTTCTGTTTAGTACTAGGTGCATGTGTATTTGCTAAGGTCACGTTCTCGGTAGTTGATGGGAATTTAGATTGTAGTTTTTGTTGTTCAATAAGTCGAGTGTTGAAAAAGTTTGGGTTCATGTGTATAGCTGGTGGTCGATAAACACCTAAAAACAATGGATTGATGTGAGCACCAACTGACATTGTTTTGGGTTTTGCAGCGTTTGCTTCCACTCGTTTATTAAAAAGTGGATTAATATATATTGTCCTCGAGGTAGAAGGGTTAGTGCTTTGGCAGAATTGAGGCATATTTACAGGATATAATCTCTTCCAAATAATAGCACTACTTTTATTTTCAAACAAAGTCACTTCTTTTTTTACGCACTACACTGACGATGGATGATTCAACTGATTGCGATATTTATTTACAGCAATGATCAGCTGGTTACGATATTTGACGTGCAACACAGAGTTATATTTTAAGGCATTATTAAAGTTTTTAAATACGTATGATAGAAAAATTAATATATATTCTATGCCACAATATAAAATAATGTTTTAAATTATTGTTACAAACATATTTTCCCCTTAAAAATGTAACCCCTTAAAAATATTGATTTCTTCACATTAAGTGCTTCCAAAATAATTCTACGTATATCCATTTGATTTTAGGTAGTCAAGTTCATTCTATGCAATAATAAAATAAAACTCAAGTTAATGCAGGTAAAACTAATTTAAAGAGAAAACTAATATAATGTTTTCACTTAAAACGAAATTAAATATGCTTTATGTTAAGTTTGTCTATTAGCAAACAAAAAAATTATATATTAATTATATTAACTGTATTGTTTTTCTTTAAAATTTTATTAATTTGCAGCAATAAAAGAATCTGCCTTAAAGATAAAAAGATTGATATACCCATGTATGCATCTATGCCTTTGTGTTTGCTTGACGTAAACCTGTCTACTAAGTAGAAAAGTGTAAATATTTTGTACTTGTATTTTGGTATTATTTATTAGGGAAATTAGTTTAGTACCAGATACCTAATTTATGAATAATGCTGTCTTACAATATGGAATAAATACATTTTCTTAGCTCTCTATACCGCATAACAAATAGAGTAAACTTTTAACGCCACAACACTTTCTACTTTTGAGTGCATTGCAACCCTTCCAAAGTATGAAACCTATTATTTCTCCTCTCTTCTAGGTTGAACTTTATTCTCGTATTCTTTCACTCTAATGTCAGAGAACGTAAAACGTAATTATTGTTGTGACGTTTCTTGTAAAAGTGCTGCCTAATTAATTAAAAATGTTAAAATCTACAACTCTGAGCTGTCATCACTGGTGCTTTTGTGTTGTAGTTATTGTTCAGTGTCAGATCCCATATTGAAACTGTCTTTTTTCGGTAAGCGCAGCTAAGTTTCTTTCTTTCCGGTTCACCATGGTAAGGAGACAACATAATTTTTCTAACTCGATAATTGTTTCAATTAAAGTGTTAATAAAATGTGCACAATAAATAAACGCTGTCTAAAAGCTAGGTGTGCGATATTGTGCATTACTTTATAAACATATTCCAAGTTTTCTAATAAAGAAATCTAAAATTGCGAAACGGCTTCACGTGTTTGTGGTGTCTGCTTGTGTAGTTGCTGTCATACGGAAACGTGGAACATTGGCCTACTAATATGAATAATTTTTATTTAACTAGATAACTCAATACATCTTACTTTTATTTACAGCCTTTCCAGAGGTTTGTACAGACTGGCCGCATTGCCAAATGCTCAGCGGGTCCCTTGAAGGGCCGCCTGGTTGCCATTGTTGATGTTATTGATCAAACACGGGTTAGTGAAAGGAATTTTGACGTCAATATTGTGCAAAGGGTACGCAAGTGATGATACGGTTGACGATAGGAAGTGCCAACTGATACATAACTGAAGCTATTTACAACCATAACTGAAACGTACCCTTTGTACCAATGATGTTAACACTAAATTGCTTCAAAGATTGCTTATAAATGTCTTTTAAATATTATAGGTGCTCGTTGATGGTCCATTAACCGGTGTACCACGTCAAGAATACAGATTGAACAATCTGCATTTGACGAAATACCGTATCAAGTTCCCCTTCACTGCTCCAACACGTATTGTGCGAAAAGCATGGAAGGACAGCGACATGAAAGCCCAATGGAAGGCTAGCCCATGGTCTGCCCGCTCACAAAACATCTGCAAGGTAATTTTCATTGTTTGAATATTGTAAATTAAAAACTAATTAATATTTCACATGATGATAATGAAAGTTCTTGATAGGAATTGCCGGCTGACACATAATGAAGCTAATTTATATATTTTCTGATAGCTTTCATTATCAACAAATTGTTAATGTTGTGCCAATTTTCTAATTATCGTACACCATTTAATTTACAGCGCTCACATTTGAACGATTATGATCGTTTCAAGCTGCGTTATGCGAAGCGTCAACGCAACAAGTTGCTTACTGTTGCTTTCAACACATTGAAGAAGCGCACCAAGTCCGACGGCACAGAGCGTAAATTGAAGAAGGACAAACGCGAGCGTATTCGTGAATTGAAAGCGCAAGGAGTGAAGAAGGGTGCTGCTAAAAAGTAAAAAATAAATCAATGTGTTTTAACTTTTCAACTAAGTATGCAATGCATTCTTAGTTGGCTACTTTTCGGAGGAAAATAAAGTTATTTTATAGGAATAAAGAGATTTTGAGTATTATTATTATTATTATTGAAATTAGAATATCAAATATTTAAAATGAGGGAAACTGCTCGCTGCTATTGGAATTATAATCGTCCGTATTAATGTGAAGTTTTGCTTCCATTAACGCTATAGATACAAACGGATTTTATTGATTGCGCGAAACCACATGTTCTAACCAGAAATCAAACAGGTTCTTATCAATTGTGCAGTAATTGTATTTATTAAAGGATGTGAAGAGCTGAACATAATTTTTAGTTGAATCGAAGAAAATGTGACTAATATGTACAATCAAACATTCGTTGCGGATACGAATGCATTTATAAAGGTAAACGAAAAGGAAATAAATAACGTAAGATGATTAGAAAGCTTGTCTGGTAGTTTGAGAAGACTTATGACCTATATCCTTTCTTTGACACTTTGTAGTAGTGTTAGCCCACAAGAATACAAGGAATATATCCTATTCCTCTAACTATCGTCGTAAATTAAGTGCCAATTATTTGGATGATTATATCCTAGTAGCACTGGCAGGTACAGAAACATGCTAATGTGTTGTTCCTCTAACGAAGTAGAAATTTTGATCCAATTACGAAGCCATGTTGTCATTTCTTCAGTACTAAGATTGATAGGGTTGAGGCCACGAATGTAACAGGAGCGACGTATGTCATCTGGATGCATGTTATGAACGTGTCCCTCTCTTAAAATAGCTTGATCCATGTTATGCACCAGAAATGCATGCTCCCATAAATGATAAGTCTTAAATAAAAGCGTTGGCACGCCATGTAATTGACACAGCAGATTCTAAAGAAAAAAGGGGTAAATAAAACTTTCATGTACTTGAATAATTAAAATAAATAAGATCTTACAAGGTGCTTCCCACTTAGAGAGTATAAGTCGTATGGAGGTTCTGAAAAAATGTCTTTGACATTTAGCAACAATTCCACATTGGGATGAAAACCACTCCCCAACATGCCCAGTACTTGTTGTAGTTCTTCATGATTTTCATGTTTCTTTGCATTTTTCAGTTTCGATTGTAGTATTCTCAAAACTGGCTTATTATTTTTAAGGCGTTTCTTTAACGCTGCTTGCTGAAATTCTGCACGCTGTTGAAGTGTCCAGAAATGCGAGCAGAGGCATTGCTGTGGAAACGCGAAGCTAAATACAAATTCTATTTAAGTTCAATACAAAGTAATTTACAAGTTACATACATCAGCGGCATTGCCACGTATCCGACAACCGGCAGAGCGACAAAAAATAGGGATGGTGCAACTTTCATCATATCGCGTGGCATCTGCATGTACAGTTCAAGTTCTTTGCGATTCAGTGCTTTTAGTCCCATTGAAGAATTATTTACAATACGCACAATTTTGAGATATGCTTTCATGTCATTGTAAAAATCCATTACACCATCCACATATGTGCGGTATACTTTCATGGCCGATGGAAAGTTCTTTTCCAATAATTTTTCATAGTTCTTGATATAGTCAAAGAAATGCTTGAACATATAGCTTTCGACGTTCTCTCGAGACAACCGCTGGGTAGACGCCTTTTTCGTATCTGTTTTAGTTGGTGGCCATTTGGACCAACTTGCTGTGCTTGCTGTATCATCTTCTTTGCATTGCGAATACTTCGGTTCAATTGGCGAAATTTTCGGAGGAATAATGGGAGGAAGAGTAGTCTTTTTATCAGCAGCTCGCTTTTCTGTAGCACCGCTAAAAATATCAAAAATATTAATTTAAAGGCGTCTTTACAATTATGTAGAGCAATAAGGATTTGCGTCAGTCACCTTCCTTGTCGAGCTAGTATGGTCATGGGGTATGCATACTGTTGCCGCTGTAGGGTAAATGCACTACTTGAAGAAAGATAAGCCGGTCGGCGGAAGAGTCGCCACACAAGTGTCATTCCTTTAATATAATTAGCTCTCTACTTCCTGCTTGAATTCATACGGGCGTTGTAAAACGTGGCCTCGCCACTTAACAAAAATAAAAAACTTTGACCCAATAATCTCAGAACTAATGCTAATGCTTGATAAATATTTTTCTATTGGATAATGTGAGAAGCAAAATGTCAAAACAAAAAACGAGAAATACTAGGGAATACAGAGAAACGTCAGTTTTCAAATGGGATTACAATGTACAGTGTGAGCTAAAAATATCATCGCTAAAAGCGAAATAATATTACAATGAAAATCTGAAATTAATGCTCTATTTTAAATCAAAGACTCATAAGATTTAGCTTAGCGATTGTACAAGTCTTATGGATTTGTATGCCTTTATTCAGCTAAAGATCTTCTTCTGCGGACTGTTCCAAATATAGGAAACTGTGCTTGTGTTCATGGTCACATTGGGTTCTTTTCTGGATATAGCTTGGTACACATACATATATGCAGAGAGGTTTTCATATATCTTTACTACAGTGGTGACAGAAAATAAGAGGGGGAGAAGCCTGTGAAATAGAAAGATATTTCTGAACCTGTCAGCCATTTTTGTGTACAATTAATTAATTATTTTATAACAAGCATATCACAAATACACTAGGAGTGGTTAACACTTCCTGCCGTGGGGTGACAACAATTGGAAAATGTTGCTTAATGCTTTATTTAAATTAATTTTCTATAACTTTTTGGATGTTAGTACGACCCCTGGAATTGAACTCGAGCCAGCCGAAGATCAGTACGCAATGCTCTCGCCTACCGCGGCCGCCTGTACAGTTGCGGATAATGAAAAGTAAAATGAAAACGGGAATTCACTTTTTATTTCACGGTTTCATACACGAGAACTGAATTTAGCTGTTGCAAATATCGCATTAGTATTCATCATAAATTCGCAATCACTGTGTCCAGCAGCATACCTGCTGAGAGACAACACAAACTGTTAAGCTTTTGAAAGCTTTCAAAACGAAAGCGTACAGGAATCGGCAACTAACAACCAATCTAATTTACACATTGCGGGACAACAAGTCAGTTTGCTCCAAGACGTTCGCAGCTTCAGTTGACATAAAATAAAATATTCGCCAACTATATGAAAAACGTTTACAATGGGTGCATCCGTGCGAATATTAAATGCGTTTAAAGTTTAATAAAATAGGTTCAATTCATTTTGATTAAGCACTCATAATTTTTTTAGCCCGATTTGAAGTGGTTTTTTAGTGCTCGATTCTTTTTTTTTTTTTGCACAGTGATTTAAGTGAAAACTGTTTGTAGACGAAACGAAGTATGCTTTTAGGCGCGGGGTGATAAATGCATGTAACAAAAGTGTGTAACATAAAGTCGTTGGCATACCATACGAGAAAAAGTTACATATTATTGTTTTTGTTATTGTTATGTTCTTTTTTTTGTATTGAATTTACGTCTGCACAAATGTGTGTAATTAGATATGTGTGTTGACTTAAATGCATATATATATGTAGACATGTACATAAATATGTATGTTCACCTTGAATATACATACCTAGTGTGGCATAGATTTTATAAGTAACAGTGAAAAAAATGTAATTCACTTCAGAGAGTATCCTTGAGAACGCGAGAAGTGAAGACTTGCACATTGCTATTAGACGACTTTTACAAATATTATACAATATTTGGTATACTCGCAAGTGTATATACACATATGGAAACATGCATTCGTACATACATATGTACATATGCAGACACATATGTAAGATGCAGTAACGAAATGCACGCGCGAATATAAATAAAAATTCCAACAATTTTCTTTTCGCATAGAAGTATACATACACGTACACTATGCATGTGTGTATGTATGTTTATATAGAAATGTCTGTACACATATTGACGACTGTGTCTGTGAACGCAAACAAAAACAAGGTTTGGGTCAAAAACTCGCCCAACAGTGGGAATGTGGGAATGTGCGGTTTGACTGACTGGCAAGTGTTGACTTTTCTGTATTACATTTCTTAGATATCTTCCTAGGTGAAGGCATTTCTCTTCACGTGTATACATACATATAAACAAGTGCTATGTGTTTGTATGTGTAATTTATTCCTATTTTTTTGCTCATATAAATACATACATCCGCTAAGCTTTGAAAATAAGACAATACATTTCAAAGAAGTAGCTCAGCTGTTTAGCTACCTAAGTCAGCTCGTTGACAGGAGGTGGGTGAAATGCGATTTTTATTGTTTTACTTATCTTTTATACTTTTGCAGCCCACCTACTTACATATATGTACATAAATATATGCTTGAGTATGTATGTTTTGCGGTAAATTCCATATAAACAATACATACCCGACCACACCTGTAAGGGTGTATGTACATACATATGTACAAACACATATTCATTGAAAAACGAAAAAGCGGTAAAAACACCTGTTCGGGCGGAAAATAAATGTGTCAAACAATATATTTAAATGTACCTGTAACCACTTGGCTTTTTTTTCTTTTTTGAATGAGTGTTAAGTTTAAATACATTACTTGTACCCACATACATATGTATGTATGTATTGGGTTTTTTCTGGAAAGAAATTGTTATTTTTAAACAATTGATTTTGTATTTCCGTGCGTAGGGCGAGTAACGGTATAAATATAGGTTGGGCTAGTTTAAGTTCGGGTAGGTTAGGTTAATTTAGACTAAGTGAACATCATAAGACTTTCCTTTAGAGGTGTGTACATACATTTTGGATACAATATTGGAGAATCTCAATCAGTGGCAGACGGGCTTATGAAGTATTTATTGGCTTTTCGTTGCCTCTCATGACACCCATATTTACGACGGGTAAATTCTCTTTTCTTGCCATCAAAGAGTTTTAAAATATTATTCTTCTAAAAAATTATGCACTCTCTATTTAGCTACCTAGCACCAGCTTAAAAGGCAGCATAATAATCAGTCACCTCGTCCTGCTGAATAAATTTTGGTGTGTTCCAAAATTCAGACGAAGCGGTGTTGAAGTATCAGTATATGGCGAATATCTGGTCGGTACTAAAATTACCAGGTCGGCAGGCTAGCTGTATACTGAGTTTTAAGCTTTAAGCTTTGAGCTTTATTACTATACGCTAGTATGAGATATTGAAGAGGCTTAAGCCCCGTCAATTAGAGCAATCATTCGTACGGACAAAAAGGTGCATCCATAGGAACTAACCAAGCTCACGGAGCTTCTAGCCAGTCACTATCGATGTGTACCATCTGGCGTTGTACTGATGAAACAACGTTGGCCGAAGTAGGTCGTTTCTAGACGATTGATTTCTTCATACGGTTCAACTACTGACAATGCAGGACCAAGATAAGAGTAGCTCATCTTGTAAATTCCACCAATCACACAACAAATACTTAGTGGTCATCAATCCTGGCTTGGAGAACATTTGTGCGGGCTCACTGGCCTTCGTCAACGATTGTTTTCGTTTGACATTGCCGTAAGTGATCCATTTTTCATCACCAGCCACCATCCGCTTCAAAAAATGGGCCGATTTTGTTACGATTCAGCAGCGATTCGCAGATGGAAGATCGTTTCAAGAGACTTTTTCTCGATAATTCATGTGGCACCCATATAACGAGCTTGTTTGTGTATCCAGCCTTTCTGAAGTGGTTCCAAATTATTTTTCGTGCAACATTAAGCTCCTGGATAGTCGAAACAGTGCTCCCATGACGGTTAGACTCGACGATTTCCATCTATTTATTTTCGACAATTGGGTTTCCATACGGTGAAGCATCTTTTACATCAAAATTACCGAAAGAAATCAACGACCTCGTAATTGTGCATGATTGATTGTTACAGTAGTACTATTCATGTCTTCCGCTGCTTGCCTTAAGTTTTCGCTTTGGACGTAGACATTTTTTTAGTATATAGTGAATTCTACCTTTGCTGATGTCCATCAAACACTACTGAGTTAAATGATCAACACTTCGCCCGTAAAATTTTTAGTACAAATAATCATCTAGCGTAAGCCCATCGCACTTATAGAACGCGAGTTATAGACCTAATATTTTAAGCTCTGAAAACTTTGAGGGTCCCTGTTCCTCTTTCAAAGATTTTATGAATATTTAGTCACCCTGAATACCCTGTCAACATAATAATTCATTAATTTGACATTTTAATTTTTAATTTCTGAAAAGTTGGGTTTCCAAGGATAGTCCAAATGTTTTGCTCAGGAAAACTGTGTTTATAAAAGCTCTAGACTAAGTGCTAGCATGATAGTGCAATTTTATTATGATCAGGTTATGATAACAACAAAATATGTTTTTACGAAACTTAGAGAAAAAATCTCTTTAAAGTATATTAGATGATCAGTATTTGCTTTAAAACCTTACAATTCCTTCCTATGAATAATGTATACAAATATTTTTATGTATGTATGTATAATATATACACATAAGATGTAATGTAAATGTTTTGTCTTTTAATACAAACGCGCATTTCTATGGTATTTATGTCAAATATACTAACCACAAACAATGAACTTTTTATTGTGTCTAAAGTCAAATTGTAGGAAAAAAATGCAACCACTTTGTATGCTTTTGGCACAGAGTCAACATGAAATTCCACACCTGTGGAATGCTTAGAATCAGACAATCAGCGATAAATGGAAATAAATGGAAAATAAACAAAAAAATAAAAATAAAGTGTCATAAAAAGTGAAATAACAAAACTGATTTAAAATCTGCAAAAAAAATTAAAGAATTATTTCGAATAATTTAACACACAAAACAAAAAAAAAATTTAAATAAAAACATGAATGAAAAAAATTGAATGAGATATATTTTTTTTTTTAGATTGAAACTATGTTTACAGAGTGGAAAAAAGTTTTAGAATTGAGCAATATAATTTATAACAACTTTAATTCGCTTTGAAACTTTAACATCACGCTAACACATCTGCACATGTGTATGTATGAATGTAGCGCAAATCGAAAAGGGCACCACTCAAGGACCACTTAACTAATATGTACGTGGTTGGTATGTGAGTAAGCTTAAAGTTTTAATAAATACTATTTAATTTAGTTAAATGATTGACGCTTACCAATACATATTGTTTATAAGCACTATTGAGTCCGTCACTCATACGCCCGGCAGAACTTATTTACAAAAACTGCAGTTACACATACGTCATGACACACGCCATTGTGTTATACATACGTTCAGGGTTTTAATATCAAAATTGCATTAATTCTTGTATGCACATATATGAATATATTTCCTATACATCAAGTTTTATACACGCATCAAAGGCAGTTGGTAAGCGACAGTGTTGTGGATGTACATACACACATATATACATACTTCTTACAGTATGCACTAGTGCTGAAGGTCAAGGCGTCAGTGAACATTAGTGTGTGGTACAAACATAAAAGCGCAAGCAAACACGCACTCAGCTTTTAATAGGATTTGTGTAGAATATTTCTAAATGAAAACAAATTAAATAAAAATTAAAAAGAAAACATCACATCAAACGAAAGAGTTTTCCTATGCAAAATGGTTAGTGTATATGAGTATATATGTACATATATAGGAAGGGATTAACAAAAGTTCGGTAAGTTGACCAGAAAAAAAAGGCTTTCTGTATTTATTCGTAATCTTTTTCCTTTGAAATCATAGGGTGCTCTATCCGGTGAATATGATCCCGGGCGTATTTCTTCGCACCCAGAGGTCGCAATAAAATTACTCGTTATTTCAGTAGGGTGGGATGACGCGTTGTCATGATGTAAAAAGCACTCTTCGGTGTATCATTTTGCATTTACCGTCTGACCCTTTTCCATTGGAACATCAGCTACGATTTTAGATCGGGGGAAGTAAATTGACATCATCATTTTCACTGCTGATTTTTGTGGCTTAAATTTTACGTGTGGGGTTGCTCCATACCAAGAACTGCTGTTTGGTTTCTGCATCGTACTTATAAAATCAAAAGTTGTTACCATTGACGACTTATTAAAGTCTGAACTGAAACTGAGCAAAGTACACTAGAGCCTCTGTTTGTGTCTTATTTAAAATTGGTGGTGGCCATCGAGCAAATTTTTTTCTGTACCTCAGATGATTACTTATTATTCGCTATACAGCCCTGGAATTCAAGCCTAATTCATCATTTCCTATATCAATTTTGGACTTTACCAAACAGTGATTTCATCAATGGTGGATTTTGGTCGAAATTCTCGGGCTCGTTCTCTACGGAAAAATGTCCAGTCTGGTGGCTTCGAAACCACTAAGAAATAGTCTGGAAAGACGGTGCATTCATTCCATATGCAATTTGGCATTCGGTGAATATTTATATTCGCTGTAAATTATGCTGAAACCTGAATAGAATC